CAAATTAAAATGAGGCGTCACATCTCATCAATGCTATTATCAGTATAGAGAATCTGGACTTTGGGAGGTGCCTGGCCCACTCCAATCAACATGTGACCTTTGAGGATGGATGGACGGACCAGATTTTAGGCCAACACACGGCTATAGTAGAACACTCTCGAAACATACAGCCGTTCCCACATTTTTGAACACGTGGAATTTTGGTTGGTCAATAGAGACCCATGATAAAGGTTTGATATTGAGAGTTTTGCAGTATTTTGTGGAGTTAATTTTACAAATATCCCAGCATTAAATGTGAATATATTTTTGTTTTTTATATTAATTTTTCAAAAACTAGAATTTTTGTATGAAAAAATAATAAGGATAAATTTAATGATATACTTGTATTCAAAATGAATTTATTATTGAATTCATAATTATATTACCAATTAATTATATATTTTAATCTCAAGTAAATAGATAATATTTAGATAATTAGTAATGAAAGTTGATACGTAGCCTTGCTTTCTTAAACGATTCGTTATCATCCAGAGTTTTCTTAACATAACAGAAACCGATATTTCGCGATAAGTAGCGAAAAAGTGGCCTATGGCCACCACGATAGAGCTGACCTGCCAGGGTAATGGGGGGACACGATGTGGACATGCATGGATAAAGATGAGGCAGGGATGATGCGCAGCAGCAAACGTGACGTTTTTCCAGCTGGAATCCACGTGACCTTGATTGATCAGCAGCTCGTTATATATTTTGCTTAAATTCGAAAGTAAATATATTTATTAGTCCTTAAATTTAATTGTTAAAAGGTAAATTAAAGAGATTATTGAATTTCTTTTAGCAGTGATTTTAGAGAAATTAGGAATTAATATATTAATGTTAAACAAAAGACAGGAAGTGCCAAAAACATAAGAAAATGAATATTGGTTATAAAGTAATTGAATGAATTGTACCGTTGAAGGGATAAGAATTCAATTAAACTAAAAAACAGAATGGAATGAACAACTGTCTATCTCAATCACTTTCTTCGTATCATCAAATCTTCTCAAACTTTAACTTTTTCTCCAATTTTGATTTCATCATTATGTTATTCAATATTTGAACTGAGATTAAATCTTTATACGTATTATAAACACTTTACAACTATGATTGGATTAGAGCAGTAAAAAATGAAAGTAATTAAAATAATAATAAATGTGCAACATGAAAATAATGAAGGGAGAGTAATTAAGGAAGAAATAGAGTGGGCATTAATAAATTGTTTGCATAATTAGTGGTATATGGGTTAGGTAGGGGGACCTTTTTGGTTTAAATTTATTTTGTAATGTTAATGTATTTTGCAAACTAACTTCAAAGGGTCGGATGGTTCATAGAGATTTTTATTATATTATTAAAGATTGAATTTAATTTCACTTCGTTGCTATTAACCGATAATCATTAGAGTTTTTCTCGATCGATAATTAATGTTCGAAAGATTAATTGAATTACGTAAATGGCTTGAACACCTCTGAAATAAAAAAAAAAAAAAATTTGTGTATGATGCATGTGGAGCGTGGCATAAAGAATGATATTAACCTCGTCACATTCTTTGCTTTTAAATAAAGATTAATTACCATAATAATGAGTATTATTAATTCTCGAAACCCATCTAAAACAAACGGAAAGATGCATGATAAATATATAAAGTGAAGGAGATGGAGATAGAACTAACGACAGAGAGAGAGACAAACAAAAAACACATAGAATTATATATATATATATATATATACTGCCGGAAAAGAGGAAAAGTTAAGAAGATGAGCGAGAAAAGACAAGATATAACGGTTGTATGTGTGAGTGGTATGATAGTTGTTGCCAGGCTGACATTTTGAAGATGATTAGCTCTCACATGGTCTCGCTGTATTCTCCTCTTTCCCTTGGTCCCATCCCTCCACTCTTTCTTTTACAGCATTTCCATTTTACATCAATTTTGATAAACCCTAAACTTAAACAGTGTGTGTTATCTTCTTCTATACTGTAAGTTAAAAAGTTGAGATGATTATCACTTTTACATCAAATTTGAAAGACTTTTACTAAATTCTGTAAGTTTTGAGCCTTTAAAGCTACTCTAAAACGAGATATTAATATTACAATCCAAGAAACAAAAATATGTTGTCACTTTCATTTTCCAACAACCTTTTTCTTTTAAATTAATAAAAAATATACTTTATTCCAACAAGCCCTTGGCTTATCCATAAATGGACCTTCATCCTGCTTTAAAAGAGTGAGCTTAGAGCAAGACGCACGCACAGATACACCTCCTAAGAGAAAGAAGAAAGCTTCCTACAGTTCTTCCTTCTGTAGAGATTACTAGAAACCAGAAGATATAAAAAAAAATGTCTAAGGAAGTCAGTGAAGAAGGCCAAACTCACCATCGAAAGGACTATGTGGATCACCACCACTCCTCTCCGACCTTGGTGAGATCAAGCTCTGGTCTTTCTACAGAGCTCTTATAGCTGAGGTTGTCGCCACTCTCCTTCCTTTACGTTACCGTTGCCACCGTTATCGGCCACAAGAAACAACATGACGCATGTGATGGAGTTGGCCTTTTGGGTATTGCAGGGCCTTTGGTGGCATGATCTTCGTCTGTGTTACTGCATGCTGGTATTTCTGGTAAGAACCATCTGGGTTTTTCTTTAAAGGCTAAGGTTTTTTTTGAATGTAAAGTTTGGATTTTTTTAGTGGTATGTTAATGGGGTTTTTTTGGTTTTTGTTTCAGGTGGTCACATTAACCCTGCAGTTACATTTGGGTTGTTCTTGGCCAGGAAGGTGTCTCTAATCAGGGCTTTGGCCTACATAATCGCTCAGTGTTTGGGAGCCATTTGCGGTGTTGGGTTGGTGAAGGCTTTCATGAAGCATGAATACAACTCTCTTGGCGGCGGTGCAAACACCGTAGCTCCCGGCTACAGCAAGGGCACGGCTTTGGGTGCTGAGATTATTGGCACCTTTGTGCTTGTCTACACTGTCTTCTCCGCCACTGACCCCAAGAGAAGCGCCCGTGACTCTCACGTTCCTGTATGCCCTCTTCCTCTCCACACTTTTCTCATGCCTTAGTTTTTTCCCATTAAGTTATGTATGTCATATTGGTGTGTTGTAATTGTAGGTTTTGGCCCCACTCCCAATAGGGTTTGCTGTGTTCATGGTTCACTTGGCGACAATCCCCATCACTGGAACTGGCATCAACCCTGCTAGGAGTTTTGGTGCTGCCGTCATTTACAACAAGGAAAAAGCCTGGGATGACCAAGTATGCATAGTTATACAAATATTTTGTCATTCTCTTTCTAGAAACGAATTGCGTTTTTGATAATTAATTTTGATGAGATGTTTAACAAGTTGATATGAATGTGATGGCAGTGGATTTTCTGGGTTGGACCATTCGTTGGAGCACTGGCTGCAGCGGCATATCACCAGTACATTTTGAGAGCGGCTGCTATCAAGGCTTTAGGATCATTCCGCAGTAACCCTACCAACTAAGAAAACAAAAATCAAAATCAAAACCCCACCAAAATAGCTTTTTCTTTTTTCTTATCTATTTGTTCGTTTGTGTGTATGAGAGAGGACTATTATGTCTCTTTTTTTTCTTTTCTTTTATTTATTATTTAATCTTTGATTGTAGTTTGTCTCTGTGAATCTTTGTTAATGAGTAGTGGTGGTGTTGTTTCTTCTTCTTTCCAAATCATGTTCTCTTGCGCAGTGGTTAATTTTAATTTTTAATTCTTTCTCTCAGCGTCTTTATATCAAAAGTTCAAAACCTTATCTTCATTTTAGCCTGTAAAATACAAAAGAAGATACACTTTGCTGTAGGGTTACAATATTTAGAATTATCAAAACCAAACCCTAAAGGATTGAAACATGGTGGTGGGCTGAAATATAGCAATCAAATGAAATAGTTTAAGCAGTTTTAAGTTTCCAACTTTCTTTTCTTCTTACTTTATGTGAATGCTTGTTTGGAAAAGAAGCACCTGGAAAGGAACGAAGATGCTTTCACTAGATGAACTAACGTGAAATTTTACTTCACTGGAAAGTTCTCGTTGAAATGGGCAAAAACTTTTGGACTAAGGTCCAACCAATGAGACTAAACCTAGTGGTTAAAACGGCCAGAACCTGCCAGCTCTGCAAATGCCACGTGGCATACAGATATGGGGGTATCATGAAATGGCATCACATGGGTGTGGGTCAGGTCATGGGTGAGAGAGGTGGATTATAAAATATTATCGACAACAGTTCAACCCTACAGAAAAAGAAAAGCGATATTTAGCTAGCTTTACAAAGTGAATTTAATTTTTTTGTAAGAGTTCGAAGGTTAGAGGGACTCATGTCATGGAGTTCACTTCTTTTAACAAAACAAAAGCAATTGCCAGCCAAGAGTAGAGTGTCTTTACAACGGTTTTATCAGAAAGAAAGAGAAGAGTGGTCCTCACGGGGTCAAGATCAGACCGACACTCCTCCACGGCTCTGATTTGATCTGATCATTTTGCTAAAAACATGTGATATGTGGTCCAGATTGTTCAATAAGCCTTCTTCTAGGCACATAGAAGGAGGATTTTCTCCCTTAACAACCACTATCATCATGAATGTTTGGTAGAATGTTAACCTCCAACTTAGAAATCCCTTTTTTATTTTCTTGGATTGCTAAAAATCACACCCTCTAGAGGCTCCAATAGAGTTTTCTTTTTGGGTATGATGGAAAAGATGAAGACCCTCTTTTAGCACTAAACCCAATCAATTCAATACACAAGTCTCAAGAAATGAACTTTTCGAATCCTATGACTACCTTGACTACTTTTTCCTTTACAAAGAGTTTTGACTATCTTATAACTTTTCCATTAAGGGGTCATACTGAGAAACTAATAAAAAGGTTCTGCATCAACAATAATCCGTCGAAGTCAAAAACTGCTAACGGTAATTTGTACACTATCATCATAAGCATTAACCACCTAGTAAATAGAAGGAAAAAAAACACAACAGAAAAGAAAAAAAATCTGCTTCTGTTCAATTTGGGACGAAAAAGGGGGTGGGGAGTCCAATTCATTCATGATAATAATTGTATACGGGTACAACATTATCTTGAAGTTACAGACCCAACCAGAAAACACAAGTTATTCTACATGGTTCATTGTATTGAACAACTTCAAAGCATGGAAGAATAGGATACAACTTCGAATTTTTTTTCTTTAGGAAAAAGACCGCTTGCCTTAATCGATGTCGAAGATCTTTCCAATTGGTGTCCATAAAAGGATCCTGCAATGTGAAGCAACAGCTAAGAATCACATGCAGAAGTTATCACATGTGAACTACCTACTCGTGAGAATTATCATAATGCATTCAAAGATATTCTAAGATCACTTTAGGAATATAGAAGGCGTGAAAAGAACAGGGGAAAAACCATCTAACTCCATGTTTCTAAATGGTATATTATGGAAAAGACGGATTTGCAGTCAGTTCCAAAAAGTCAACTAGATAAAAATATGTTTCCAATACATATTAGGTCTAGACTCAATTCATAGTGATTATAACATTAATCAGCATAAAACTATGATGAATGAAGTTTATGAGACACCTGATTTCATGGACGACAGCTGACAATTGTAGCACATATGGTCAAATTGAAATAGTGACCTAGACCTAACATTGTTACAATCTGTGTTCTAAAATTATGCTCTAGCTAGAGAAAAACATAAGATGGAGTAGTGAAAATAATAAGCATTATAACAAATTTTACAGTTTTATTCTTAGAATCCATCATCACACTTCAATAAAATTGAACTAAAAAAGTTATATATATCTCCGACAAAAAATCATCCAGTATTTCAGACGACCAAGTACCTTAGTCGGGCAAGGCAGTTCCTCGTTCGAGATTGTTTTTGATCTCCAGTGTGTATTTACCAAATGCTCGCTCAATCTTCTTGTTGAAATGCTCGTTACGGTCATTAATTGAGTCAATGTCTTTCTCTTCATGGAACCTCCTCCTCCTGCTAAAGGATGTCCTTTTCTCCTCCCGGTCCTTGAGTTCTTTCACCATCCTTTCAACTTTATCCTCAGAGACCTTTGGAGCCTACACAAAATGAATGGAAAATCCATGAATTAGAACACCTGATTTTGTCCAAATCTACCAAAGAGCAAATTTTCTCAACAAAAACATACCTTCCCGTATTGGAGGCTTGAAGCATCCCTGTAGAACTCTGGATCAGCTTCTTTTAGTCTGTTATATTCCTCTAAATCAACCTCGACATTCTTTGTCCGTTTCTTATAAGCATCGTACAATGTCTTCTGATTGAAAACTGTCAAAAGAATAATTTCATACTTAGATCAAAAACTTTATTCCACTGTACTTGTAAATTTCAGATCTTCACATAAAACATTAAGAGGTACACTTATTTTCAAGTACAAAAGTAAGCTAACACAAGAAAGAGAGAACAACAGAAATAACTCTTTACTTCGTTTTCAAAAGTCAAACAGTACTAATAAGCAGTAGAACTTCAGGAATGCATGCCTAAGATATCATTTCCGGAATCTTGCACCCATATCACTAGGGAAAATGTTTTGATACATGTTTGCAATCTAATGTATGTATGTAACAATGTTTCTGATTACAAACAACAAACAAGCAAGTGGATATATAGGCATGTAAAGGCACACCAGGATATGGACATGCCAGGAAAAAGTAAAAGTAGAGTATCAGAAAAATGAAATAAAAACTTAATAAGTAAAATTAAAATACCATCCCAACCAAACGGAGCAGGATCCTTCTCCCATTTCTTATATTTTGTCTCTGCTGCCTCTTGTGTATCTAGCATATATGCCTTGGTCATATCCAAACCATTTGAATCTAGAAGTTTGCCTATCTTTTTCTTCCTCTCCTCAAGCCATTTTTGTTTAGAGATGCCCCTAGATTCCTGAGGAGATTCCATTCTTTTCTTTTCAGCAACCATTGCTGTTTGATTCGCCTTTCTTGCCTCATTCTGTAACAATGCAACAACCACCAATGATTACAAATTAATTTAACTGTGATGACAATAGATTTCAGAACAGAACAGTTTAATTTTTGAATACCAATCAAATTAAAAAAAAATATGACTAATAATTATCAATTGAACGAAAACATACCATCTTAAGCCTCAACTCGAACAATTTTTTTGCTCTTCCTGTAAGCTTTGTAATGTCTCCCAAATTCTCCTCAGCTGGTTGGTCATGGTCACTATCTGAATGTTCCTCAAAATTTGGTCTTTCATCATTGAAATCTTCAACCACATCATGAGCAGATGCGTTGGATTGACCGCTACCACCATTGACTGGCACAACTTCTGAAATAGTGTAAAATGTAAGGTTTAAGTATGGAAGGAAAAACATGGAGTTAGAATAATTGAATATATCCTAGAACTATCAAATAATACTTCCACTCTCTAGTATTCGTTTAAATGAAACAATGAAAAGAAATAGTATAATGTTTTAGACGTATGCAGAGAGCTTTAGACAAGAACAGCAAAAACTTGGATTTAAGGAGTAACTAATGTGAGCCCAACATTTGGAATACTCAAGTCCAGAATAAGATGACACCTTAAAGAACTTAATTATCAGATAAATGAACTGTCCATGAATATTTTAAGGAGGAATACATGCTTTTTCCAATCCTATGTTCATAGTTTTGCTGGACATCATGCAGTAAAAAAGAAAGAGCAATTATACTATTCACACATAATTGTGTTTTTCCAGCCCAAAGAATGACCAACTAACACAAGCAACATAAATACATACTATAGAGAAAATATCAATTCCAAACTAGAAACAAGAATTGTTACTTAAAATGACACACAAACAGATTCCAACAAAATATACCTGTTTCTTGTTTACCCATTCGCACCTTTGCTTCAGCAATTTTTCTGAAGCAATATTCCACACATTCATGGTAAGGATTTGCTGCATTTATACAGTCCGGGTGAACTCTTCTTTCTTCCTCCATCTTTTGTACTAACTTCACCTCTTTCTATCAACTCAAATTGCCTGAACAACACAATACAATGATGAAATTAAACCTCCATTAACAAACTTCAGTGATCAAAACCCCGTAAAATATCTTCGAAAAAAAAATCACAAGTAGTACAGACTGATAATGATAAAAAAAACATATACACGTATGACATTATTTTATGTAATGGGCATACGCCATGATGTGTTCAAATCCTACCTAATACCTTTCTGACCTAATTTCAAATTATTTTCTGAATCTTATTTTACACTCTGAAATTCAATTAAAGGTTATACCTTTACATAATAAAGATATATAATAAGTCGAAATTACTTCAGAATTTCATCTAACACTTACAAAAATCAATAATCCAAACTAATAACATTCAGTTAAAATCCAACAATTCGCGTAACCCTAAAAATTGATTATAAGGTAATATGATATGTGCTACCTAATTCTTAAATCACGAGTAACAAGCAGTTCATCTGATTAATTTATTATTATTCCTTCAAAACCAAAAACAAAAAAAAAAGCATAATTTTCATTACCTTATTGTTTTTTTCCTCCTCAAGTTTCTACGCAACCAAACGATGACAACAGTTAATTGAAACAGAAAATCGAATTGAAAAGATAACAGAGACTTACCTGTACTTTCGATTCTCACTTCTGTCTCGATGGTTTTGTTTGGCTAAAGAGAAAATAGGAAAAAAAAATTAGTGGCCAAAGCGCGAACGCGAGAGAAAATTTAGCTGCCCGGTCATGCCAAGTTTCTATTTAAGAAAATGGTCTTGAAACTGTTCATCATTTTTTTTTTAATTTAGAGAAGATGACGTGGCATAGTTAGGATTACTTAAACACGTAAAATAGGTTAAAATAAAAAAATTAAATATATGTAGGCCGAATCAGAAAAATAAAAGTTTTAAAATTTGAAATCGCAAAACAGCCCCACTAACTATTTACCTCGCTTATCAAAATTCATTAGTTCAAAAAGCGATTTCTTGAACGAAAGGAGACGCGATTTTTTCCGATCGAACACCTGCAAATTTACAACCTAAATCAATTTCTTGAACCCTAAACCGAATACAGTCGCGATTTTCGGCGATATAGTCGCGATTTTCGATCGATTGTTGAACCCTAAAATCGATTTACTTAACCCTAAACGAAATCTGTGCCATTTCCGACGATACGATCCACATTTCCGATCGAAACTCAAACTTTGACACCAAATTCAATCCAAACCATGACTGACACGACAATGAGGAGGGAAGCCCAACGCCATTCGAATCAGATTCCGGTGGCGCAAGCAGTTCAATGGCTGCTCCGATGGATCATCCGACCATGAGGTGGTCCACACGCAGAGGAGACCTGGCGGCACAAGAACAGAGGGAAGAACCAGCAAACGGGTCTGAAGACAGATTCAGCGAGAATTCAGGCCAGGAGGAGGATTCCGCGAGAGTTCAACAAGGAGGAGGATTCCGGCGAGAGTTCAGGCAAGGAGGAGTCGTCGAGGACCAGGCGACTAGCAGGAGGCCGGCGAAGATAGGGTACGTAGTTTGGGAATATTGCGTACTTCGCTTAAGCGATCATTTGTATCGCTTAAGCGATTATTCTGTTTTACTCGTGATCGCAGTCATGATCGCTTAAGCGATAAAAAGGATCGCTTAAGCGATTTGAGATCTGGCAGATGATTCTGCCCAGACCTAAGATCGCTTAAGCGATCATGAGTGTTACTCTTGGTCACTTAAGCGATCTTAGGTCTGGCAGAATCACAGATATAATAAGCGATCTGTTGTATCGCTTAAGAGATTCTCAGTTAACTCTTGGTCGCTTAAGCGATTTAAAATCGCTTAAGCGATCTTGCATAGGCAGAGTAAAGATCTCTAAGCGATCTGAGATCGTTAAGCGACTACAGTGGTTTTGGTTTATTTTGTTGTTGACATTTTATTTTATCTTTGTGCAGATTGTGCGGACCGTAAACTGTAGAGAGTACGAGTTGGAGCCTATAAGTGAGAAGGTACCCTACTTCCCTGCAAGGGTGACGGTGAGGTTGAGCTGGGAGGTTTTTGACAGAATAAGGGCCATTTTAGCTGGAATGAGGCATGGGGAAAGAGATTTTGGTCGCACTTGTTTCGGTCAGTTTTTAAGAATCGGAACAAAGTGGAAAAAAGTCATTTTGGGGGCAGGGAGTGCATTACATGTTGATGCACTCAGTAAAATGCAAAAAAAAAAAAAAAAAAAAATGAATGTGGTTCGTGGTGGAGGGAAAGCCACTACGGTTTGGTATATGGAGTATGCGTTGGTGACGTGTAACACCCCACTTGAAATCGTAGCCATTGTGTTAGGGTATGGCCTAAAGGATTCCTGAATTGCCCCTAAATGAGTTTGTATATGTTCATGTTGTTTGGTTGCCTTTGATTGAGTTTATGTTTTTGGTTTGGTTGAGTATGTACCCTGGAATTGATCAAGACTTAGCAAATTTTGGAGTTGCAATCTTCGTCGGGGCAGGGAGAAGCTTCGCCGCGGCGACGTTGGTTTTGTGTTGGCGGTGTCGATTCTGGACGTTTCGCCGGGGCGATGAAGTTCTTCGCCGCGGCGATAGACGGCAGAAAGTTTCTTGAGTTTCTAGAGAATTCTTCTTTGGGGCACAATGACCATTCTACCCCTAATTACAGGAAAAGTGGGGAGTAAAATGCAAGGAAATTTCATGGAGAATAGTGTAAAATGGGGGTGAGTTTGTAAAGAATCAAAGGATAAGGTGGAAATTTCAAGAAAGAGATGGCAAAATCGGAAAGAGTGGATATTATATGAGCTAATAAGGGTTGAGTTCTCTAAACCCATTCATTTTACCCATTTCCACCGCCTCTTCATCTCCCATTCTCTCAATTCCTCACTCAATTTTCTAAGGGATTTTTGAGAGTTTTGAGTTGGAATTTGACAAAATATGATCCTAAGCAAGAAGAGGTAAGAATCCCTACTTTAGAGATGAATTTTATTCATGTAAGGTTAAGTTCTTACTAAGTTTATGCTTAGGAAATAAGGGAAAGTTATGATCCAACAAGAGTAGAGAGCTTTAATGGAGACTACTCATATGAGGTAAGTAAATCCAACTCAAGCTAAAGTTTAAGAAATTCTTAAGTAGAGATTATTTTGCATGTATATATGATGCTTGTTGAGAAAATTGAGTAGAGATGTATGTCTATTTGTTGAGGAATTGAGTTGAGAAGTAGTTATGTTATGTTGGTTGGATATTCCCTTTATGAGAAATTTTTTTTGATGTGTGATGAGAGAGTGAAATTGAGATGAAGTTGGAAGAGATTGAGTAGATAATTTGAGAGTGTTCTTTTATGATAGGAACCATGCCCATAAAGGGAGTTTCCTCCCATTTTGGATGGTTAAAAAGAGAAGGAGAGTTGTAGTTGAGAGATTTTTTGTATGCACATAAGTTGCTTGATGAAATGCCTAAGTGAAATATGCCCTGTCACAGCCGTGACGTTCTAAGTGATTTTTGGGCATTTTACGGATTGAACTGGGCTGAGACCAAAACATCAAGTTATAGCCCTGTTTCTAAGCTTTGAAACGAACCAAAACCGTAGCAATCCGAGGTGTTAACGCAAGTTAGGGTCTTTTTAGTCAACCTGTGCAGAATGACTGTTTTGAGGAAATCTGCATTTGGCATTTCAAAGTCATTAATAGTATGAACCATCCATATGCATTAATTGTCATTGAGAAGTAGTTTGAAAGAATAGAGAATTTGAGTATGAGCTACCTTGTGAGTACTAGCTTAAGAGTAGAGAATTTTGAGTATAAGCTATACTATGAGTAATAGTTTGAGTGAAAGAGTAGAGAATGTTGGGAATAAAAACTCTTAAGAGTAAAGAGAATGGAATACTCCGATAGTAAAGAGAAAAGTTGAGAAAGAGTAGAGAGTTACTCTAAGAGTTAAGCTACATTATGATGGTTAGCTAGAGAAAGAGTAGAGATCTTGTGCACAAGAGTTAAGAGAAGAATAGAGTAAGTTTGCGATGGGGAACCTGTGAGTGACGAGTAGAGTCACGAGAGTGGGTGCTTTGTGATCCCCACCGTGCCTCCGGTCAGATGAGGCCGTGACCGTCACGCAAGTGGAACATGAGGTTCCAGCCGTGCCTCCGTAGGATGGGGCCGTGACATTCAGAGAGAGAGAGAGAGAATACACTCACATGGCCAAAGGTTCTGAATCCATGCATGACTAAATCCGATCGGTAGTGAAATGAGCAGAGTCACGTAGATGGGTAGCGCCCAGCCGTGCCTCCGGTCAGATGAGGTTGTGACATTCCAATGAGTAAGAATGAGAAAGAACAAAAAGAAACGAAATACAAAGACAACAGATGAGAAAAGCTAAGAGTTAAGCTGTCCTGTGAGTTCTAGCTTGAGTATGAGTACTAGCTTGAGAAGAGATGAGCAAATGAGAAAGAATAAGAGAGAGACACGAGCTAGAGTAGGTTATGCGATGGGGAACCCAGGATAATGGGTAGAGTATTCCCGCATGTACGCCGCATTGAGAGAGCGACATGAGTATGAGATAGAAAAGTGGTGTAGCCCGTGAGAGTGCATGCGGATGAGGGCTATACCCGTACCCGAGAGAGAGATTATACACTCACGTGGCCAAGGGTTCTGAATCCATGCATAACCAAGTCCGATCAGCTAAAATGAGAGGAAGTCATGTAGAGCGGACGAGTCCCGACCGTGCCTCCGTAAGATGAGGCCGTGACTACGAAAGAGAGAGTTGACAAAAAAGAGTTACGAGAAAGGAACGAAATGAGAATGATATAATAGAAAGAATTAAAGAATGAGAAAGCTTGAGAAAGAATGAGATAGAAAGAGAGAGAGAGTATGAGAAAGAATTGGATTGAGCTAATACGAATAGAGAGCAGAAGAAAGAACATGCAGTTCTTTCGTATTAATTTCATGTAGAGCTTGTACCGGCGAGAACCATGATTTTCCTTCATGGTGAGTATGGATGAGAATAGAGAGAGACCATATTGTCCTTCATGGTGAGTAAGAATAAGAGAAAAGAATAGAGAGAAAGAAAGAGTAAATAGCAGAACAGAGTTAGAGGAGAAGAATAATATTAGAAAGAAAGAGGAAACAGTGAGAAATAGAAATAGAAGAACAGTAGAGTAAGGAAAGAACCAAAGAGTGAGTTCGGGGACAGGTAGTAAAGGATTTACTTACCGAGCATTGTTGTGTCACCCCGTTTTTCTTCTCTTTTTTGCAGGAATAGGAGCAGCGGTCGGATGGACGTCGACGAGCGAAGAGTATTGGCACTACTGTCCACCAGCTATGATATTTTGTATTAATTAGAAAGTTTTTTATACATTGTATTTGTATTTATAAAGAATTTATTTTATGAGTAAAGAAAAATTTGAGCCCACTATCTCATATTATATACATATCTATATTTTACATAGTATGTATTATAAGAATAGTACTAAAGAGGAGGTGTTACATGACGGGCTTAGGATGCGGGGAAGTGCCAACTAAGGTGGAGGCAGACGCAATAAGGACGAGTGTGGGAGCCATAAGGTTTTGTGATAAGTTTTGAAAGGGCAAAGTCTATTACAGGACAAGTTTTAGAGAAAAGGCTAGGTACAGTCGGATATCATTTGAGCGAACCATCAGAGCCTGAAAAAACCAGACATGGCGTTAAAGCATGCCGAATGGGGCGAGAAGCTAAACCAAGCACGTATAATTTGG